CCAGGACAACTGGGGCTACAGGGAGACCCTGTCTCAAAAAAAGACCAAAAATAAAACTGTATCTTAGATGTCCCCACTCCCAATCCAGAATGATCTCAAGATTCCCAATTCTAGGTTGGCAAAACCACTCAGCCAGTAAATGCTTGCTACTCAAGCCTGGCAACCTGACTTCCTATCCCAGGAAGCCACGTAAAGATGAAAGAGACTCAACTCCACAAAGTTGTCCTCTGACCTCCACACGTATGTTGTGGCATGTGCATCCATCCACATACTTCATGCGCACATATAATAAAAAACAAGTTGTTTGCTTGTTTTGTGGGGGAACAGCATCTCCCCATTGCCCCAGCTGGCCTAGAACTTGCTATAACAATCAGGCTGGCCTTGATCTCACAAAGATCCCGTGCCTCTGCCTCCCAAGTGCTGGGATTAAAGGCGTGCACCAGCAGGCCTGGCTATAGCATATTCATTTTAATGGCTGTAGGTTTTGCATGGAAAACTCTATACCTTTGATCTTCAACTCTGCAAAACAACTTGCTAAAAGGGAACACAATTGTCCCTGTTTTACAAGTGAGGGAACCAGCTCCAAGGTTAAATAAAGTCTCCAAGTTCATGACTAGCATGGTGTGGTGAGAACAGTCTGTTCCCTTCCTCACCACATAGTGTCCTGTGTGCATGGGACATCTGGCACATGGTGTGTGCAGGATCCCAGGAGAAGCCCCAGCTGTCACCTTTTTTGTCTTGATCCTTTTTTTGTTGTTGTTTGGATTTTTTGAGTTAGGGTCCCATGTAGCCCAGGCTAGCCTCAAACTCACTATGTAGCTGAGGATGACCTTGAACTCCTGATCCTCCTGCCTCCCATCTTATCTCTTTGTCTTTCTGCAGCAAAGATGAATCAGCCTTCATGGTCAACCCACTGACGGCACAGGGGGTAGCCGTGGTGGTCGTGGCTTATGACATTGCACCCAAAGGTAAAAAGGGTGAAGATCTGAGTGGGCCTGGTGCAGATAGAAGCCCCTGGCAGATCTGACCCAGCTTCGCTTTCTGTGCAGGCTCACTGGACCGGATGGTAGACCAGGTGACCCGCAGCGTCGTGTTTCTGCAGAGACAGTATCCGCACAATGAGTATGTGTATGTGTGGCTGAGATGCCCTCTGTGGACCACGGTGGGTGGAGCAGGTCTGTGGAGCGGGAGGCAGAGGGACTCCTGAGGTTTTGGGGGAAGTAGATGCTAACCAGTTCTCTGTCTGACCCAGGGGAATTTACGTATGTGGACACTCTGCGGGGGCTCACCTGGCCGCCATGGTGCTCCTGGCCCACTGGACCAAGCATGGAGTCATACCCAACCTCCAAGGTTTTTTATTGTTTGTTTTGAGACAAGGTTTCACGTAGCCCAGGCTGGCCTCAAACTTTCTATGTAGCTGAGGATGAACTTGACCTCCTTATCCTCCTGCCTCCACCTCTCAAGTGCTGGGATTACAGGTGCATGTCACTCCTCTTGCCCACTCCCAACCATAGCCTGGCATCCAACTGCCAAAGTTTGAGGGAGGGGGGACAGGGACAGGACACCCTGGAAGGGCTGAAAGTTGGGCAGCTAGTGGAAATGCTTATGAACTTGAGTGTCTCGGAAGGCAGGGCCTTTTTGCCTCCTCCCTGCCCCCAACCCTGCTCTTCTGAAACTCAGGCCTCGAGGGTGGGCCAGACCATCTTGATGAAGCTGGCCTCTGGCCCCTGAGCTCCTAACCTTCACAGGCTTTCTCCTGGTGAGTGGGATCTACGACCTGGAGCCCATCCTGTCCACCTCCCAGAATGCTCCTCTCCACATGACCCCGTGAGTGGATTGCCCTCCATCTGGCATTTACCCAGGGCCTGGCTGCCCTCTGCCCTGACCCCTCTGCTTCCCACCCCCAGGGAGGATGCTGAGAGAAACAGCCCACAGCGGCACCTGGAGGTGATCCCAGTTCAGCCTGTGCATCCATCCTGCCCTGTGCTGGTGGTTGTGGGTCAGCATGACTCCCCGGAATTCCACCGACAGTCCAGAGAGTTCTGTGAGGTGCTGCCCCCCCACAACCCCACAGCTTGCTGCCCCAGGTCAAGGGGTCGAGTGAGCTTTTCGCTATCTTTCTCTTTATTCAGCCCCAACAAGCTGGGCCTGATGATGCATACATGTGATCCCAGTTACTCTGGAGGCTGAGGCAGGAGGATCAGAAGGTCAGGGCGTACCTGGGTTGCAAAGGAAGTTCAAGGCCAGCCTAAATCACCTAGAAGACCCTCTCTCATTATTTAAACAAAAAAAGGGTGTAGCTCAGTGGTAGGGTACTTGCTGAGCATGAGAAAGCTCTGGGTGCAACCCTTAGCTCCAAGTAAATAAATAAGCATATTACGTCCGAATGGACCCCAAGATGGTCAGTCATTCAGTCAACAAATGTCCAGTGACTGCCGCACCAGGCACTTGAAGAGTCCCACCTCCCTTACTGTGGCCCTGTCCCACTCTCCCTCATTCCTCCTGTGCAGACGCTGCGCCAGGTAGGATGGAAGGCCTCTTTCAAGGAACTCAGTGACGTGGATCACTTTGACATCATTGAGAATCTGACCCAGGAGGAGGATGTGCTCACTCAGGTGGGGCTCAGCCCTTCCCACTGGCAGCAGCAGGTGCCGCAGGGGATATCATGGATCCCACCGCCCTTAGATTTGGGGGAGGTTGTAGGAAGGCTGCATGGAGGCCTGTGTGGAGGGGCGGCCTCACCTCCACATCCAGAAGGTTGGGACCTTGGGCCCTGACTCAGGAATCAAATGGAACTCAGGCTGCCTGTAGTTCGCTGTCTTCCCACGGGAGGTAGGGGGTGGGGGTGGGGTCTGCCAGGTAGGAACTCCACACAACTGTGGCTGGGGTGGCAGGGCCAGTAGGGAGAAACATTAGCCTATGTCTAGGTGCAAAAGCCAGCTCCACAGAGGAAGGGTAGGTGGATCTGCCTACCTAAGTGTTTGTTACACATGGTTTTTTGTTTTTATTTTTTATATGTGTGAGTGTTTTGCATGCATGCCTATAAGTGTTCCCATGTTGTACAGTGCCTGCAGAGGTCAGAAGAGGGCATTGGATCCTTTGGAACCGGAGTTAGGGATGGTTGTTAGCCTCCATATGGATGCTGGGAACTGAACCCAGGTCCTCTGCAAGAGAAGCCAATGCTCTTAACCACTGAGCCGTCTCTCCAGCCCCAGTCCTTGCTATTTTAACTGAAGAAAAAACAAACACCCATAACACCTAAGAACCACAGAAAAATCTCCTTTTTCTTTTTCTTTTTCTTTTTTTGTCTTTTTGAGACAGTCTCCCTGTAGCCCCAGCTGGCCTGGAACTGGCTATGTAGACCAGGCTGGCCTTGAACTCACACAGATGGCACCTACCTCTGCCTCCAGAGTGCTGAGACTAAAGATGTGGCTACCACGCCTGGCTCTTTTTTTTTCAAACTTTTTAAAAAAATTTTATTACTTTTATTTTATGCGTATGCATGTGTTACCTGCATGTAGGTAAGTGCACCCATATCCTGCAATGCCCAAGGAGGTCAGAAGAGGCTGTCAGATTCCCTAGGACTAGAGTTACAGACAGTTGTTAGCTGCCATGTGGGTACTGGAATTCAAACCCGGGTCTTCTGCAAGAACAGGCAGTGTTCTTAACCACTGAGCCACCTCTCCAACCCCATTTTTTTTTTTAAGACAGGGTCTCAGCTGGCCATGGCGGCTCATGCCTTTAATCCCAGCACTTGGGAGGCAGAGGCAGGTTGATCTTTGTGAGTTTGAGGCCAGCCTGGTCTACATAGTGAGTTCCAGGACAGCTGGGGCTACAGGGAGACCCTGTCTCAAAAAGACAAAAAAAATTTTTTTAATTAAAATTATTTTTATTTATGTGGTTCTGTGTATATGTTTGTATACACACAGGTGAGTGTGGAGGCCAGGAGAGGGCACTGACTCCTGGAGCTGGAATTTTAGGCAATTGTGAGCATGGGAGCTGGGAACTGAACTCAGGTCCTCTGGAGGAGCAGCAAGTGTCATATCTCCAACCCTCAGTCTGCTTCTTTAACTGGGTAGCCACCCATTCCTGGGCCTTTGTGTCTTCTTTTCCTACTGCAGATCATTTTGAAAACAATCTTCAAGAAGTAGTGATGACACCCGGTCCTCAGCCTGGATACACCCCAGACAGCCTCCAGAAGTGAAGTGACTGTACCAGCCAGAGTTGGCCCGTCTGCCCACCCACAGGGTCCTTCCTCCCTGCTGTGAGCGCCGGAAACAGCCTCTTAAGTCATTCAGCTTCCCAGCCTAGATGAAGCTCCAGGGAAGCCCACAGATCGGCACTGGGAGATGCCCAAAGCCACCGCTTGGCCAAGTCGGCCTGCTGATAGGGTGCAACAACACAACTTACCTCTGGCTTTTTTTGGGGGAGGGGGTGAGACAGGGTCTCCCTATAGGCCAGGCTGGCCTCAATTTTACAGAGATCTGCCTGCTTTGCCTCCTGAGTGCCAGGGTAAAAAGTGTGGGTCACCATTGCTGGCTGGCTTTCTGTGCCAGTGAGCAGTTTCAATGTGTAGTGAACAGAACTGGGGCTATGGCCCAGTGGGTAGAGGTTTGCCTATTTAGCACCACAAAAGAAAGAAGGAAGGGAGGAAGGGTGGGAGGAAGGAAACCTGGCAATGTAGTTCAGCAGTTGAACACTTGAAGGGCATGAGGTCCTTGGTTCTATCTCTGGTTATCAGAAAAAGAAAAAGTCATGTCCAGCATGGTTGTGTAAACCTGAATCCCAGTGCTCAGGAGGTAGAGGTGGGAAAATTGCTGTGAGTTCAAGGCCAGCCTGGGCCACGTAGCAAAAGTGACTCGAAAAGAAAAGGGAAGACTGGGAGGTTGGCCCAGGAGGGAAGGGCATCTGTCGCTGGGCTCACACTGACTTCCACAAGTTGTTCTTTGACCCCCGAGGGTACACCTTGGCACATGAGCTCACATACACAAAACTTAAAAGGAGACTCCGCACCTGTGCACTGTGGGCAGTGCCAACCCTGGGCAGGTGTGCCTGGGCTCTATGAGAAGATGAGTGTCACAGGCCAGAGGTAACAAGCCAGCAGGGGGTGTTCCTCCGTGGAGTCTGCTACAGTTCCTGCTGTGACCTCCCTGGCTGATGGACTGTGACCTGGAAGTGTCAGCCAAGTAAACCTCTTCCTCCCCTAGTTGCTTTTGGTCGTGGTGTTTCTCACAGCAACAGAGTAAACAGAACAGTTCTGCCTGCCCCTGCTTGGTCACCACTTATATTGCGTGACTTTTCCCAAGGACAACGGACATGCCTTCACACCAGACAGGATACCAACATACCAGGGAAATGATCCCAGGACTGACGAGATGGTTCAGTGGGTAAAAGGTTCTTGTCACCAAGCCCGACCTGAGTTCAATCCTCGGAACCCACGTGGTGGAGGCAGAGTACCTCCACTTACTGTGCCATAAGCACCTGCACCCACATCCACACACACTAAATAAATGTAACTTAAAAAATGGTTCCATTCAAATCTAGAATGTGTCGGAGTTATTTGTAGGAACACGGCAGATGTATCAGCAGATCCCACCCCAGCACAGGCAATGATGCAAAAGCTCCAGAGCTCTCCACAGGACTCTGCACAAGTGCCCATCCATAAAGCTTGTCGGAACATGGCCCTGCACATGGTAGCTTTTGTGTCTCGTGGCAGCGTGGGGGGAGCTGTGACGGGTGTCTGCCTGGCCCTCAGTGCCTGAGGGACTCCCTGTCTAGCCCTAGCAGAAATGTGCCCACTCCCATATATGGCTTTTCTGGTCTGTCCTAGGTTCCTCTGGACATTGGGGGTTTGGAATGACTACTTCTCTTGTTACTGGGACTGAATACCTTGGAAGAATCGACTTAAGGGAGGAAGACTGTCCTCAGTCTGAGGAGAGAGGGTCCTTGGGGAGAGCATGGTGGTGGAAGCAGGTGGCAGCCATGGCCGCAGGAGCTGAGGCCACTTGCTCATTACCACAGCCCAGGAGGCAGAGAAAGGAGTGCTGGCTCTCACTGGCTTGCTCCTTTCCCCCTCGGGCCAGGACCCAGCCTGGGATGGTGCCACTCACACAGAGGCTTCTCTTCCCTCCTCAGACAGTCCTCTCTGGAAACACCCTCCCAGACAGCCCAGCAGAGTCTCCTAGGTGATTCTAAACCCAGTCAATCCACAATGAAGATGAACCATTACAGGGTGATCTCCGAAAGCCTTGAGGGGATAAAGGTCAGCCACCAACAGGAAGTGCTTCCCAGTCCCCAAGGGTGTGTGCGGGGAACTGGCTGCATCATCTACTGTGCCTGTACCCCACCTCTCCGCCCGTGTGTCTCTCTGAGTACCTAATGATCACGAATATCCACCATGAGTCAGGCAGGGTAGCGCATGTCTGTGATCCCAGAACTCTGAAGGCTGAGGCAGGAGGATTGCCTCACAACAACACTAAGTGTGGACGCCTGATTCAAGACTTCTTAACTTTTCTTTTTGATACAGGGTCTCCATGTAGTCTGAACTGGCCTAGAACTTGCTATGTAGACCAGGCTGGTCTCAATTTCACAGAGATCTGCCTGCCTGTGCTCCCCAAGTGCTGGGATTAAAGGTATGTGTCACTGCTAGATTTAGGAGAAAAGAAAAAGGAAGGAGTTTAAAGTTAAGAAGAACCAGAGCCAGACCTGCAACAGGCAAGGAATATGATTCCTTTATTCAGAACATAGCAAAGGACGGTGCTGTCCATGGATCTATCCAGACACCAGCATCCATGAGCAGGGCAATCTGGATTTACACAGGGACTCTGCTGAGCACAGCTGTAGGAATTTGCTTGGTGTCAGGTGTCTGGTGTCATAGTGTCCTCGAGGTACTTGAGGGCCTCCTTCCTGAAGCGTTATTTCTCAGGATGAGCAGGCACATTATCTTTTGGGGCAGCAGGATGACTCTGTGGTCACTATAGTGATCAGCTGATAAGGTTGGCCAGGCTATGGCACAGCAGGAACTAAGTGCCCCTGTACCCAGTCTCTGTCAGCCAGGGAAGTGACCAGTTGATAAGGCCTGATCGAAGGCCAAGCTGCCAATTTGGGCCGTTTGGTTACCTTGAGGAGTTCATGTAGGAAGCTTATGACTCCCCTGCAATTTGCACAGTCTGTCAGTCACCACCCTGACATGGCCTAGAATTTCTTTGATTTACAGTGGCACCAAAGTAGAACCGCTCAGCTGCCCAGGTTTTCAATTTCAATACAACCAACATGTTACAGGACACATTCAACAGTGTGTGTCGAATTTGCATAACTATAGCCAGATGTCAGAGTTCTGAACAGGTTTCTTAAGACAGGGCCTTACTGTGCTGCACATGTTGGCCTAGAAATCATTATGCAGCCCGAGTTGGGCTTCTGAGTGGTGAGATTACAGGCATGCACAAACATGCCTGGCCTTTTTTTTTTTTTTTTTAATGCATATGAGTGTTTTGCCAGCATGTACATAGTAAGTACACTTTGTGCGATGGCCACAGAAGCCAGAAAGGATCCTCTGGAACTAGAGGTAGCCTCCATGTGGGTGCTGGGAATGGCACTCGGGTCCTCTACAAGAGCAGCCAATGCTCTTAACAGCTGAGCCATCTCTCCAGCCCCTAAGTTGTACTTTTATGTGTGAGAACGTATGCAATGTGGTTGTCAACTTGACATACATGAGAAGAGGGAAAATCAATTGGCCAATTTCCTCCATCAGATTGGCCTGTGGCCATGTCTGTGAGGCATTTTCTTGATCATTGAGAGATGTGGGAGGGCCCGGCCCACTGTGGGTGGTGCCACCCCTGGGCAGGTGGGCCTGTGTTGTGTAAGGAAGCAGGCTGAGCAGGGGCCTGGGAAGCAAGTCAGTAAGCAGCGTTCCTCCATGGCCTGTGCATCAGCTCCTGCTCCAGGTTCCTGCCTGGGTTTCTGCCTGATTTCCCTTAAGGATGACCATCACTGGGAAGTGTAATATGCAATAAACCCTTTCCCTCAAGTCATTTTTTCTCAGAGTGTTTTACCACATCATAGAAAGCTAACCAGAACAGCATGTCACCTGTGTGCCTGGGACCCAGAGGCATCAGATTGCACTGAGCTGGAGCTACAGGCAGTTTGAGGGTGCAGGGAACCTGGGAACCGAGCTCAGATCCTCTAAGAGCAGGAAGCATTCTTAACCACTGAGTCATCTTTCCAGCCCCACTGTGGTCAGCTTTCTGAATAGATTTAAGGTAGGGTAGGCTAAGCGAGGATGTTTGGTCAGGTCTGAGAAACGTAAGTTGGACTTGGGATAATTTCAGTTTACAATGGGAGGCAGGTGTGGTGGCACACGCCTTTAATCCCAGCACTTGGGAGGCAGATGCAGGCAGAACTTTGTGAGTAGAGCTGGAGGCCAGTATGGCCTACCAAGCAAGCTGGCTCTACAGTGAAACCCTGTCTAAAAAAAAAAAAAAAAAAAATCAATTTACAGAGAGTTTATTGGGAGAGAACCCTATCCTAACTCAAAGACCATCAGAACATTCAAACAACACCAAACATGAGTCCATTCGAAGGTCTATGTGTACCACGTGGACAGTGTCCAAGATACACTGTTAAGTGACAAAAAGCAAGATGCTTAACCATGCAAGACAGCATGGTTTCACCCAAGCTGTCTCATAACGCGAGGCCATAAGACCCTTCCTTTCTCTCTCTCTCTTCTTTTTTTTTTTGAGACAGGATCTCCGTATACCCCCAACTGACCTGGAACTCAATATGTAGACCAGGCTGGACTCAATCTCACAGAGATCCACCTGCTTCTGCCTCCTGAATGCTGGGATTAAAGGTGTGCATCACTATGCTCATCTCTTTCTTTCTGAGGCAGGGTCTTACTATGTAGCTCTGGCTAGCCTGGAACCCATAGACCAGGCTGGCCTTGAACACACAGAGAGCCATCTGCCTCTTACTCTGTTGTGACTAGAGACATGTGCCACTATGCCCAGCCCAGTTTCTGTATGAGTACACAGTAGTGAATATAAAGGAAAAGTCTGGAAGGATACACACCTAGGTTTCTGGGCTCCTCTGGGCCATGATGTGGTGCTGGGAACACATGAAGGGAGTGTTCCCTTTGTCTGGATTTGAATTGTTTACAGTCAGAGTTGAACATGGACTTGACAGGCTCTGTAGTCGGGACACTGGTTCTCAGCTCTTGGGATGCTGGGATGGGATGTTATAGGTGTAACTGGAATCCATGCTAGAGTCTCTAAAGGAAATGACTCACAAATAGGATTTTACTGAATGTTTGGAACACATTCCTAGGAGATGCCTCACAGCTGGGCTGTTTCCTCATGTGGACTAGGAAATGCTCTCTTCAGTTTTGCCTTAAGATAGGCAGGAGAACCGTGTGAACACAGAGACCGTGATATAGGCACATGATACGGTATATGCAAATACACAGGTAGAGAAAAGCCTGGGACACACATACCTGTAATCCCAGCACTTAGGAGGCAGAGGCAGGTTTATAGCAAGTTTAACATAGTGAGTTTTAGGCCAGCCAAGACCGGAGAGCAAGGCTGTCTTAAAAAAAAAAAAAAAGAAGAAGAAGAAGAAGCAGAAGAAGAAGAAGAAGAAGAAGAAGAAGAAGAGGCTGGAGAGATGGCTCAGGGTTAAAAGCACTGGCTGTCCTTGCAGAAGACCCAGGCTCAAATCCCAGCACCCACATGGCAACTAACAATCATTCATAATTCCAGTTCCAGGGGATCCAACATCCTCTTCTGTCCTCTGTGGGTACTGCACGATATGGGAGCATTTACACACATGTAGGCATAACACTCATACACATAAAATAGAACTAAAAAAAAATTTAAGGGAGAGCTGGAGAAATGGTTCATTGGTTAAGAACATTGGTTGCTCTTGCAGAGGACCAGATTTCAGTCCCCAGCACCCACATGGTGGCTAACAACAATCTGGAACTCCAATTCCAGGGAATCTGATATGCCCTTCTGGCCTCCATGGGTATTTCATGCACATGGTGCCCTTACATACCTGCAGATAAGACAGTTATATATACACATAAAACAGAAAAGAACCTAACTTCTAGGGTCTTTTTATTTAAAAAAGGGAGGGGGGGCAGATGGTTCAGCAGGTACAAGCACCTGCTGCTGAAGCCTGAGTTCCGTTCCCAGATCCCAAGATAGAAAGACAGAACTAACTCCCAAAAGTTGTCCTCTGTGCTGGATGGCTTCAGTTGTCAACTTGACCCACCTGGGTAGAGGAAACCTCAGTTGAGGCATTGCCTCCATTGGACCGGCCTGTGACCCATGCCTGCAGGACACCTTCTTGATTGTTGAGTGATGTGGGAGGGCCCAGCCCACTGTGGGTGGTGCCACCCCTGGGCAGGTGGGCCTGTGTTGCATAAGAAAGCAGGCTGAGCAGGGGCCAGGGGAGCAAGCCAGTAAGC